GAAAGATCAGTTGACCCAGACCATGCCGGCATCTCTTGCTGGGACTTGTTGGAAGGGGTGCACGCCCCTAGGCTCAACTGTGCTATGGCTCTCCTAAGAATTGGTCACTCTCGTGTTACTTTCATTCTCCTTAGTCACAGCTATCTATATGGGGTGGCAAGCCCAATGCCAGGGTGGAAGGGCTTGGAAGGGGTAGATACAAAGGTTGAAGGGGTTTAATAGTTGGAACCGTCACTGGTGCAGTGGCTCTGTTGGGTAGAGGCAGGGCATAGAGAGGGGGCAGTGAGGACGCTGAAACAGGAGAGGGCGGCACAGCTGCTGAAGCAGCAGGAGCCGGAAGATCCTCCTTGGGGTCAGGACGGGAGGATTGGCAGTCATGATTTGTCATTCCCTTTCTGAACTAAGATTTTACATCTCTTCTGCAATCCCTTGTCCTGATACAGAGTCATGAAAGCTTCCACATAATACTTTTCATCCCTTTTACCCTCAGGAGTACAGAAAAGATCAAGTTGAAGTATAGTATAATTTAGAGACCCATTTGCTAGCCACTTCTCTCCATCTGCCAATTCACATTGAGGTCATGCTGTGTTACAAAAGAAAATCATCTTTTTCTATTTCATAGGGTCTGACCCCAAATATTCTCAGTTCATAAGGATGAATCCGGGCCGCATTCTGGAATCCTTTGAACGTTCTCCATTCTCCAGATGCAGACACACTTACACACTCACACAACCTAATTCAGTGTACCAACCTAATAATAGATACCTAAAGCCTTTTATGCCCTCAAAGGTCAATTCCTCCCACTTTTTGGTACTATTTTAAGGCCTTACCTAGGTACTTACCAAATAATCCAGGAACGTTTCATGTTTCCCATGGAGTCACCTTTGGGTCTGAGGCAAATTGGCTTCCAGGGCTGCTCCAAGGTCTCCAGGAGAAATCTCCTGGTGGCGCCAGATGCCGGGGCCAGTCTGTTGTCCAACCTGCCTCTGGAACTGAGCAGATAACTCTTAGCTGGCTCACCAGAAATGTTGCTGTGTGGAAACCCCAGGTTCTGCTTGGCGCAACTCATCTCAGCCAATAAATGAGAGACCGAGGTGGGGGAACAGAAATGCACTTGCATTTTGTTTTGCAAGGAAAGGAACAATCGGGGCTGCTGCCTCCAAGACTGCTCAGCAAAGGCGAGGGGGAAGGTTACTTTTAAAGGGTTTACAAGTAGGAAGTTCACATAAGTTACATCAGCAACATTCTTCATCATACTATGCAGTTGCAGTGGGGTTTACATATAACTTCATGCATCACACGTTCAAACAGCGGTGGCTAAACTCGACCCGGGGTGGGGGGAAGTTACTATGTATGAGGTATTTAATAAGCTAAGAGGTTACCTTGAATGTGAACACAGCACCTAAACCGGTTTCTGCCAATTTTCTCTGGTTTTGGGCAACAGTTAAGGAGAGGGGAACCAGGATTTTAATATAAAGCTTTGGGGCATATCAAGCAAGCTACTTGAGGCAGTGGAATTTTCCACAGCCTGGGTACTTCTGTCTTATTTCTTTAGGAGATGAAGAACATTCAATGGTGTTTAATATAACTACTGTCAAAAGAAATTGAGTCAATAATAAAATTAATCTATTAATGAGGTTTATTTGGACAGAAGAGTCTCAAATCAAGCCATATGTGGAAATGTACTCCATCGACTATCAGCAGAGATTGGCTTATATTCACAAAATGAGAAAGCAAAAGCTTATTTCTGATTGGCTTATACAATCTACTATTGAAATGATGTTAGGATTTCATTGGTCAATGAGAGTTGACTGATTTTTCAGAAAGCTAGTTTTCAGTTTCAGTAAAGACAAGTTTTAGGGGCTTTGTCAACTCGAACACAAATGCCATCTTGTCAACCACACAACTTCATTTTCATTTCATTTAACACTACAAAGTATGTCTGCTGAAAGAATACATGTTAAGTCAGAATTACGCAACAACTCCAGAGGGCATCTGATTTTGGAATCTCTCGTCTAGGTCATCTGGACCCAACATTATCAAAGATGTTGAATAGCACCGAGTCTCCTTTGAGCTTTGAGTTGATGGAGTAAATTCTCTTAAGTTGCAGCTCTTTCCTTCCAATCTTACATTAAGGGTCTAAGAAAAATTCCAGGACATTGTTATGAATTTGTGTGTGCAGACCTTCTACAGGCCTGTAAGAATGAAGTGATGAAAATTCAAGTCCTTTCACCCTTAATGTACTCTTCACAGAACAGCTTTCAAAACACTTCCTGTCTTCTGCCTCCCCAGAATCAGCCCTATTAGGTGGGCAGGGGTGGGATTCCACAGATGGGGACCACATTGGCCAACTGTTTTGCTAGAGGTCACACAAGCAGTCTGAGGAAAAGTATGTACCAGATCCAGACCTCTGTGCCTCTCTAAAGCCTTCTTAAGGGTGGGCAGAGGAGGCAGATGGCAGGAGAAAAGAAGTGGAAATGACAAAGGGAGATCTAAAGACAGTGGCAGGATGGAAGGGGTAAGGAAAGTGCAGAGAAGGCACAGAGTCAAGAGTTGGGATGAGGCAGAGGAAATAACGTAACAGAAGAATAAAGGATTGCCTCGAAAGAGAATGTTGAGCAGAGCTGGCATGCCAGGGGCTGTTGGGGAACCTCATTTCCATCAACGGCAAAACGGAGCCAAGAAAGGAGGTAGTTTGCCCAAGGATGTTCAGCACTTTCAGTGGCAGAGTAGGAACAAGAACCTGAGCCTCAGTCTCCTGATCCCATTTTAGGGATCTTCTGCCTGTCACAGAGGGACCCGTGGGCTAGGCCTGCCACCTAAGAGCGGAGAGATGTAGGAAGGCCTAAGACGGGCAAGAACAGAAGGCTGATGGAGGCTCCTGCATCACCACCACTAGGATGGATGGATAGTCCAGCCGCAGGCTGGTCAAGCCACTAACAGTAAAGGGCCCAAGTAACTGGGTCCAAACACTCCTGACACTGAAACGCAGACAAAGCTTTCCACAATTTCCTGTTAGAAGTGGTGTCGGAAATGCCCCATCAGTGTTAGGGAATTTCAGAATCTCCCGAGACAGTCAGGAGCTGGAAAAATGGCAGTGCTCCAATTAGCATAACATAGTTTATAAAGAAAATGTTTTACATGCTACTTTGGTGAGTAGCTTTGGGGTCGCAAAAGCCTGTGAACGGCCATCTAAGATACTCCACTGGTCTCACCCCTTGGGAGCAAGGGAGAATGAAGAAAACTAAAGACACAAGGGAAAGATTAGTCCAAAGGACTAACGGTCCACAACTACCACAGCCTCCACCAGACCTAGTCCAGTATAACTAGATGGTGCTCGGCTACCACCACTGACTGCTCTGACAGGGATCACAATAGAGGGTCCCAGACAGAGCTGGAGAAAAATGCAGAACAAAATTCTAACTCACAAAAAAAGACCAGACTTACTGGCCTGGCAGAGACTGGAGAAACCCCGAGAGTATGGCCCCCAGACATCGTTTTAGCTCAGTAATGAAGTCACTCTTGAGGTTCACCCTTCAGCCAAAGATTAGACAGGCCCATAAAACAAAACGAGACTAATGGGGCACAACAGCCCAGGGATAAGGACTAGAAGGCAGGAGGGAACAGGAAAGCCAGTAATAGGGAACCCAAGTTTGAGAAGGGAGTGTTGACATGGCATGGGGTTGTTAAACAATATTATAAAACAATATGTGTAATAATTGTTTAATGAGAAGCTAGTTTGCTCTGTAAACCATCATCTTAAATACAATAAAAAATAAAATTAAAAAAAGAAAGAAAATTGCGGGAGCTTTTGGTAACTTAACAGCAAGAATCACATCAAATTGCCAGTATTTCAGAACTGTCACGATTTCCACATCTTGAAAGGAACATTTCAACATCTATCCTGTATATTGTATGAGACCACTATTATAAAAACCCAAGAAAATGTTTGCACCCAGAAAAAACCCACCTTTGATGGTTATAAGGGAGGGAAGGGGTAGGGAGGGGAAATCACTAACTAGATAGTAGACAAGCGTGAGCTTTGGTGAAAGGAAGACAACACACAATACAGGGGAAGTCAGCACAACTTCTGATGCAGATCTCTTTAAAGTGATCAGAAGCAAATATGTCACTTTGAGGACTAAGGTGCTCCTGACCCAAGCCATGATATTTTCAATAGCTTCATAAGCATGTGAAAGCTGGACAATGAATAAGGAAAACTGAAGAATTGATGCCTTTGAATTATGGTGTTGGCGAAGTATATTGAATATACCATGGACTGCCAGAAGAACGAAGAAATCTGTCTTGGAAGAAGTACATACATCCAGAATGCTCCTTAGAAGCAAGGATGGTGAGACTTTGTCTCATGTACTTTGGACATGTTATCAGAAGGGACCAGTCCCTGGAGAAGGACATGATGCTTGCTAAAATAGAGGGTCAGCGAAAAAGAGGAATACCCTCAACGAGATGGACTGACACAGTGGCTACAACGGAGGGCTCAAACATAGCAATGACCGTGAGGATGGCGCAGAACTGAGCGGTGTTTTCGTTCCGTTGTACATAGGGTCCCTGTGAGTTCGAACGACTGGACTGACTCACGATTTCCGAGAATCCTTTAGGATCTTGGAGATTACCGGAAAATGGGCAGGGAGCAGCTGAAATCAGCCGAGTGATATTCGGGAATATCCGGAGCTCCTCGAGGCGCATTCGGGATCTCTGGGCTCTTTGCATATCTACTCAGGAGCCTTATGTCTCTGGCCCATCGTGTACGTCATAAGGACGATTTATAACCGACGGTCCCTCGGCAAGTTCCGGAAGTGTTCGGGATCGGCCCGAGAGTGGAGCCCTCTGGCGGCGGGAACTGTCAGCCACCACTTCATTTGGGCTATGGAGTGTCTTCCAACACGCGCAGACGCAGTTGCACGCTGGTAGCCGTTCAGACCGGATGTGGTTGCCACTGAGGTCAGTTCCGGCGGGTGACGGTGCGGACGGGTCAGAAGCGTAGAGGCGGCGGCAAAATGGCGGCTCCTGAGGAGCAGGATCTAACCCAGGAGCAGACAGAGAAGCTGCTACAGTTTCAGGTAGCAGCGAGTACTCGGTGTGGTAGATGCCGCCTCGGGATGGGAAGTGGGACCCTAGAGGAACCCAGAATCCTCTTCAGATTGAGCTCGGCATCCTCAGGCCAGCGGGCGGCTCCCTCCCCCCAGACGCCAACTGCCCCTCTTCTCCGGGCCCCCGAGCCTCTGTCGGTCGCCGGCCTTCCAGCCATGGCTGCAGCCAGACCCGCCTCTCCCCTGCCCCTTTACCCTCAGCGGATCTGCTTCCCTAGTTTTCTTCAGCGGCGGCCGTCCTCAACCATCTTAACTAGCCCGGCTACCGGTCGGACCCTCTCAGCCAAGACTCCTCTGTAGATCCGCCCGAGACGCTTGATCCCCACTGCAGAGTTGGCTTCAATTCTGGTCTCTGGAAAGCGTCATACCGGCAGCCCATGTCATTTCCACAAACATTTGTTGAGGGGCTCTTGGGTACCAGGTCCTGTCTTGTGCGCTCTAGCGGGGGTGGGGGCCCCTAAAGACAAGGCCTGGCCCCGGCCCTAGAGGTCTGGGAGGACACCACGTAAGGAGACAATGCAACATTATAAGTATCATCAGTGGCTTCTGACTGAGCTCATTTCGCGGGGCTTATTCCTGGACTTCTGTGCTCTGCTGGGCTTAAGGAGGGCGGTAACTTGCAGGGATCTACCTCCTTGTAGGGTATGTTGTGTTAAGAACATTTGGCACTAGGTGGTTATTTCAGAGCTGTGGAATATGGTTGGAGAAGGCAACTAGGGTGGGTAGCCTTTGCTGTTTTTTGTCCTGATGGCTACCAGTTTCGTTATCTCTAAAATGCATATCTTAAAAATGTCTACCTCCTAAGGATGTTGTGGAGATCAGATGAGTTATGGATGTCACAAGGGCTTTGTAAATGGTAAAATGTTCCCAAACATTATTGCTGCTGTTAATCCTAGCATAAAATTAAAGTTAGTGACACACTTATTTCCTAATATAAAATGTGCTCAATATTCATTTATTCAGCAATATTTATCAAGAATCTTAGTGCTCAGGCACTGCTAGGTAGAATACCATTTATTGGGTATTTAACATAACTATAAGTACTTAAACACTCTGCATACCTTATCTCATTTAATACAACAACCCTATGAGGTTGATACTGTTACAGTCTCTGTTTTACAGATAAGAGATCTGAGGCTTAGTAAGTAACATGCTTAGTTACACAACTAGTAAATGGTGGTGCCAGATTCAAAGCCAGGTCCATCTTTGCAGAATCTTTCCTGGGCTCTTGACTTTGTGCTGTAAAACCTATCTACAGCTGAGAGAGTAGACTGCAAATGATGTGATATTAAGTCTTAGTGTGTGTGTGAGTGGGTGTGCAGGTTCTCATTTTTCTCCAGTTTCCTCGAGTAGATTTTATTATAATTAATTTTGAAGGTTTTCTTTTCCCTCTCTTAAATCTAGCAATGGGTTGTAAGTGTATAAAGGGAAAAATATTATCATAGAAGTTGTTGTTAGCAGCCTTCAAGTTGGCCCCTGAACCATGGTGACCCCATTCATAAAAGAACGACATGATACTTAGTCCTGCAGCATCCCCATGGTTAGTTGGGGATTGGACCGTTGTGATCCATGGAGTTTTCATTGGCTGATTTTCAAAGTAGATCACCAGGCCTTTTTTCCTAGTCCATTTTTAGTCTGGAATCTCTGCTGATACATGTTCAGCATCTTAGCAGCATGCAGGCCTCCACTGTCAGATGGTTGGTGGCTGTGCTTGGGATGCATTGGCTGAGAATCAAACCCAGGTCAACCGCATGGAAGGCAAGAATTCTACCACTGAACCACACCACTGCCCCCACTATCATAGAAGTAGTTAACATTTAATTGGAGTTTTGAGTAGAGAGGAGCCCTGATGGCATAGTGGTTAAGTGCTCGGCTGCCAACCAGAAGGCTGGTGATTTGAACCCACCAGCTGCTCCATGGAAGAAAGATGTGGCAGTCTGCTTCTGTAAAGATTTACACCCTTGGAAATGCTATGGGACAGTTCTACTCTGCCCTATAGGGTTGCTATGAGTCAGAATCAACCCAACAGCAGTGGATTTGGAATGGGTTTTTGAGTGGAGAAATTGTTGACACAGCAAATTAGAATCAAAGAATGCATGAACATTGGACAATCCGCTTCCTCTTCCTGGTAGGTCACTAATTTCAGAATTTTGTTTACCTCTGGCAGACCGTTATACCCCTTACAACTCTTCGGGTTAAGCCTCCATGTTGTTTGTTGTTCATGTGTAGTGAGATGATACAAGTTGTAAATCATGATGTTCTTTGTCTTGGGCTGGAAGAACATGAGTATGTGGTAGCATTTCTGAGGTATAAAGTGCATAGGAACCTCTGTTTTGTCATCAGTGGACATCTAGATCAGTAAGAGAGGCGGGTAGCAGGTTAAAGTTACATTGACATTATGAAACTGGGCTTAATGAGCCAAATGCATTTCATATTTATGTATGTGTTCTTTGGTGCAGTGGCTAAGCACTTGGCCACTAATCAAAAGGTCAGCAGTTCAAATCCACTAGCTGCTCCTTGGGAACCTTTTGGGGCAGTTCTACTCTGTCCTGTAGGGTTGCTATGAGTTGGAATCAACACAACAGCAACAGGTTTGGTTTTTTTGGTTTGTGTTCTTTAAGCAGTCTCTGAGTCAGATTCATCATTCAGATTACCATTAAACATTCTTTAAAATTTACTAGGTGGCAAGAATTATACCAGGTAGTTGATACAATTTGACTGTTTTAACTTCTTAATAGTAAAGTGTTAACCCCTGCTCATTTTATTAATAAGGAAAATGAAATTCTTAGAGGTGAAGAAATTTGCACATGTAGTAAGTGGCAGAGATTTAGAAATCAGTATATACAGATAAGCAGCATTCTGTGAGATATTAGTGCTCCTGGTGTAATATGGTATAAACAAAGTGCCGTAAGTGTAATTACAGGAGGAGAGAAGAAGGATGGCTTAGTAGTTACCATTTATTAAGTATCTACTATGCCTTAGGCACGGTGCTAGATAATTTATAACCATTATGTTTAATCCTCACAGTAGCCATGTAAAGTACAGTAGGTGGTATGCTTGGCTTGCAGGTGAGGAAACAGATCTATAGAAATATTTGTTCAAGGTCTTTAAGCTTTTAAGTAGTCAAGGTGGGATTAGAATTCTAGTGAGTCTGGATCTGGACTTCATAGCCAGACTCTTGCTACTTTAAAGAATGAATGCAGTTTCAACAAGTGGTGGGCAGGAGGATGTCCAAAGATGAGTAAACACACAAGGTATGGAGATGGTAAAATGTGGAGTGTAAGTGTTGTGATAGGTTTAGAGAACTGGGTGTGGAAAATAAGACTGGAAAGGTAAGTTAGAGCCAGATTTTGGAGGCCTTTCAAAGCTGTGCACAGTGATTTAACTTTTAATTTGTAGGTGTGGGGAGCCATCTAAGGTTATTTTCAGCTAGGTTGTGACATAACTCTAGGGTTCAGATTTGCTTCATTAACAGTATGGAGTATGTATCTCCATAGAGGTCAGGACGGAACAGGTTGACACCTGCCAGAAGCTGGTTCTCAATATGTTGCCTCATTTGGACATATTGAAATTAACGAAAGTAAAATAATTTAGAAATCTCAGGTTTTCTCTGTTCCACTTTTTTTTGTGACATGTGAGTTGATTGGAACTCCCTAGGACATATTTATTGTGCTTCTCAGTCCACTGATGTTTTCTGAGATTTTTCTCTAGTTATCCTTTTCTCCTCTTTATTTTGGAACCAGTTGAGTATGAAGAAGTAATGCAGACCTGTTTTAGGCTATTTCAAATGGGAAAGAACAGGAACATAGATTTTAATAGCTACTACAGGTATCTGGAAGGTTACTTTCTGACGCAGTTGGCTGCAGAATTAATTTGTCATTTTTAAGATTAGAATCCATTTTCCCAAATTTTAAAATGTAACAGACTCCCTTAACCAAACCTGTTGCCATCAAGTCGATTCCAACTCATAGTGACCCTATAGGACAGAGCAGAAGTACCCCAGAGGGTTTCTAAGAAGCAGCTGGTGGATCCAAACTGCCAACCTTTCAGTTAGCAGCCAAACACTTAACCACTGTACTACCAGGGCCCCTGACAGATTCCCTTAGTGCCCTGGTTACTGCCTCTGCATTGCTGTTTGAACACCTAGAGAAGGATGACCTGGACAGAGAGAGAGGGACTAAAGGAACTTTGCATGACCATTTGAGGGAAAAACGATCCCTTTTCTGCTTGTACAAGAGTAAAAACTTTCTGTCCTTTTCAGTGGATATCAGAGTAGGAGACTTGTTCTCTTAAATTATAGGGATTTAAGCCTGAACTCTGGGCTATAGAATTAAGTTTACAACTCAACTTCGAAAATTTCCCTTTTGTCTCCATCTGACTGTTTATTACCTAAAAAGGGGGTCGGGGGGAATACATGGTGCTTTGTGTTCATGTGTTTTTTTTTTTAAAAAAAATCAGAGCGTTCTGTTTGAGGTTTTTGCCAGGGAATTTGGTATTGTGGAGAAAACATGAGGGTTTGAAACTCTGGGCAAACCTGAACTAGCTTTCTAACCTAGCTTCTGGTGAGTTTTGAGACCTTAGGCAGCTTCTTACTATTTTGAACTTCTTTCCTAGTCTGTAAAATCAGGGTATCGTTATATAATTCACAGCATTCTTTTTCTTTTTTAAAAAAAAATCTACCAAGTAATGCATGCTTGTGGCAAGTTGTTGCAACCTACAATTACATAAAAAAGTAATTAAATCTCATCTTATTCCCCTCATCCTAATTCCAGGTTTGTTGTGTATCTTTGTATGCTTCTTTCTTCTGCATATACAGACATACAGCCCTTAATGTAGATGTTCTCTTACCTTAACCTGCCTTTACCTGAGTAGTTGGAAAAGATGCCATCCATTCCCCAAGGTCTACTCTGTAATATGCCCAGATATTTCTGTTCCCACCAGTTGAGTCATACTCTTGATAAGAGTCCTTT